GTATACCCCAGTCTCATCCTGTAGATTTTTTGCACTTAAGTAAATAGAATAATAAACATAAAAGGATACTATACTCATGTATCACTATCAGTTGCAATTTGCAAGAGTAGAGTAAAAAAGACAGAAGCATTACATAGAAGCCATTAGCTGTTTAGCTGCAACTTTAAAGACTGTATTAAAACTAGAGATAATGTCTTGATAATGCATAGATGTTATATACAATAATAGATAGGTAATGCAAGAATTAACTAGGTCACTCTGAGAAAAATATGTCACTCTACATCATAAATATATAACTCCAGTACAATAGGTTACTCATACAGTCATACATCTGAATAATCACTATCACTGTGATTTAGTGAATAGCTTTACCTACCTATCACAACAACCAATTCTAAAGCTTAAGCACTACAAAGTACAAACCATTACAATGATCAAATTGAAAGTCACAATGACATTTTCTCAAATGGTAAGCCATTTTCTTTTTCGGTAATGAACGTGCTTCTCTTCTCAGGCCATTACCTACGAATCTTCTTATCTACCTAGTCGTCAACATGCTCCTCATCTCCCTTACAACATCACCAGTGGCACACTCCCCTCCCAAACTACTTCCATCCTATGGACTCTCATATACGGAACAGATGGGATCAAATGCTTCAGGAGGTTTGATCTCCCACAAGTTGATGCTGATCACCCACTTTCCAAGCCTGTTCCACCTTGGCCTCTCAAAAAAATCTAGATGTGATTGATGAGTGTGTGGCTGCAACTACCCCCACATGTTATTCATGGGTTTGTGGCTGGTCAGTTTGCGGTGCTCCAATGAGAAGACTCAGAGTTTTGGATGCCAGTTTTACTCTTACTTTTAGCTGCTATCTAGTTAAATTTTCTCCCCCTTCTGTTTTTATACATGGTTATGGTAATTTACGTCTTTTATCCACACAAAAAGTAATCCTATAGAACTTAAGGCAAAACCATCATTGAAAAACCAAGAGCATTCCAGGACAGCAAGTCACCGCAAAATAATGCCCTTTGGGGACCACCTCAGCCTCCGTCCTCTCGCGGTGCAAGAGTAGGAGATGCGCCCCTCCAAAGAACCAAACAATAGCAATACACATTTTCAATTCCTAGCAAAAGTAAATATGCAGTTGACATTAAGAAATGTGAAAAGGGGGGTAGGGGACTACACATGTGTATTTGTCAAGGAGGCATCTCTACAGTTATCAGTTTGATATCAAGGAAGGCACCTCTACGGTTATTAGTTTGATATCAAATGGATGATGGCATGTTGTTTCAATTTCAGTGCAAATAGAAAAAAACTATCGGCAACTCCACAAGTTCTCCCCTTTTTTAACTAGATATGCTTATGGTAATTTGATATGCCATTTCTCCTCCAAAAAGAGTAGCCGTCTACAATTAGGGCCAACCCACATCACAACCAAGAGCAATTCAAGACACCAAAAGTCCCCCCCCCCCCCCCCCGAAATTCTTTCCTTTGGTGGCCACCTTGCCCTTATTATCCATACGTGAAAGAGTAGGAGGATCCCTTGCCCTCAAATAAACAAACGGTAGTAATATTAATTTGTAATCCTAACAAAACTAAACAGGCAGTCACATTAAGCAAAGTGTATTGGGTAGTAGGGGTCAAGTCGTGTGGGTTTTCAAGCAGACACATTCATAGTTATCAATTTGATGTCCACGGGAATGATGGCATGTGATTTGAATTTCAATGCAAAATTGAGGGAAAGTGATTGGCCAAATGGTAGAGGGAAACAAGCTGTCCAAGGAGTGGATGCAATGAATGATCCTTCTATTTACAACCCACCTCCATTTATCAAGCATCTGAAGAGAGATTAAACGGAAAACGGGGAAGTTTCAGTTATCCTTCTAAGAAAGACTAAAGATGGTTACGAATTGATTTCCTTTGAGAGAAAACTGCTCGTGGACTAGAAATTCAAAACATACTAACTGCATAGCAGGAAAAAAAAATCTTGAAAGAATCTTGTTGTTTTTCTCAAACTGTGACACAACCGGCTCATTTCTGATAGGTATCTACCATCAAAGGAAAGAAAATAAAATGCTCAATAGAGCGAAAGATGCAATCGCAGCACTGCACAGACAACATACCAAAGAGAGAACTTGAACTCCAAGGTCTAGAATAACCCTAGCTTATACCCAGCTAATTTGGAAGACTCACCAAAATTCTCGCTGCAAGCGAATTGGAAGGTCCACGGTTAGCGAGAGCATTGAGCGCCACCTCTGCTGCAGAATGCTCAGCCTGCCGGAGCGTGGAGCAGTAATGGGGACTCTCGAAAGTCTCGCCGTTGAAGTTCACCGTGGCCTTAAACCGGGGGGCGTGATCCGGACCTTCTCTGATGCAACTATAAGACGGCAAGTTGAAGCAGCTCCTCTGCGCCAGTTCCTGTAGCTGGTTCTTATACATTTCTCCGATGCAAGCCGAGCAACCAACCCAACCGGGAACAGAGAAAACGGAGCGCCGGAAATCAGCTCAGATCGTCGAAGGCATGGCAAGTGACAACTCAGCTCCGACGGGCAATCACGATAGGATCGTGGAGCTCCTAGGGTTTTTGCTTACATACAGTGCGAGTAAATGCAGTGATTATAGATAGAGAAACGGAGAACAGAACAGTAGAATTTGAAAGAGAGAGAATGAGCTAGGATTGGTGAGAAATACAGAGTCAGAAACTGAGTGCAGGTTACTTTGGGATATACTCCGTATGTTGTGTTGACAATAAATGAATAAATAAAATGAGGATGTGTTTTGAACTTCAGAAAAATTGATTTGATTCTATTTCTAGTTTTAAAAAGGAGCAGATCTAAGGTTTGGTTCTTCCGGTCGGTGAATCCCCTTCACTTGTGTCCGACGCTGGGATTGGATTTTAGGCAGATTGACAAGAATCCTTGCCCAAGCTTGACGACATCGAAGCCAGAGTTCGACGATTGATTTCTTCGTGAGCAGGGTAGCAAGGGCATGGCAGCGATGAAGATGACCGCCAGTGGTGGATTTGCTACGAGCGCGGGACGAGGAGAGGTGCACGGATTTCGAGCAGGTCAGATGACGATTGACAATGGAGGATCAATTAGAGTGGTACCAAGAATACCGTCTCCTCCTGAACCACCACTATGGGTTCTACGAGGTGCTAGAGTGTGTGGAAGTTTTCCTATTAGTTATTTTTATTTTGTCATTTGGCTTCTGGTTATCGTCTATGTTGTTAGATTTGTCAGTTTGTTTGGAAAATTAGCCTTTTTAATGACATTAAGTATGTTAGGATCTATGGGAACACGAATGGCTATGTCAAACCCATTGGGCCATTACATGGTTAGTGATTCACGTTGCTCTTTCAGGGGTGATCGTCTTTAAGTCTTATCATAAGTTTACAGTCGTAGTTGTTTGATTTCAGTTGGTGTCAGTTTTGTTTTTTGTTTGATTGATGTAATGATTCTGAAACTTATGATATGAAAGAAGACTAATTGACAATCAAAATGGCAAATAGCTAATGCACCAAATTTAGACAAAGTATATCCCAAGAAAATATGGTACATTAAACTCTATAAATCCAAATATCCCAACTCCAAAATTTGTCGAATATATGACCAAATAAAACAAGAGTACCATATCTATATACATATGATTGGCCCAAATCATTATTTCATTATTTACCTATTTCTAAATTATTCAATTGTAAATGGAAAATGCTTAGTGTACATGAGTTGTACACTAAACCCCCTTAATTGTCTGTGTCTTAGTGTACATGAGTTGTACACTAAACCCCCTTAATTGTCTGTGTACACAGACAATTCGTTTAAAAGGGGACAGTACTTGATGTCAAATTATCTGTGTACACAGACAATGTACACATTTTGTGTACAACTTGTGTACACCAAGAATGGTCCAAAAGGCATCTTCAGTCCGCCCACTTTGTGGAGTATGCGAAAATAGACAAAGGTAAGGGAAAGCAAACACAAATATCGAGATTTGCAAATTCTCAACCCTTTGGTAATTTTTCCTAAACAAGAATTCAACGAGGTTAGTAATTTATTTCATCAATTGTATAATGAATTTCATGCACAATATGGTAATGCACCCCCTCCCATGCAACGAACATCTTCTTCATCTAAAGGAAAATCACTTTTAAAATCCGCTTTTGGTTCTCTTTTGGAAAAAAGTATAGCAACTCCCGCTACTGAACAAAGCTCAGGTAACGAGCTTTCTTTGTATCTAACATTGAATGTTGATTATGAAGTTGGTGATGACTTTGACGTTCTTAAGTGGTGGAAGGAAAATGAAAGAACATTCCCGATTTTATCAAAGATGGCTAAGAAAGTGCTAGCAATGCCGATATCAACCGTTGTCGTGGAACAAGAATTTAGTGCGGCCGGCAACGTCCAAACCGATTATAGAACGAGATTGAGCCCGAGCTCTCTTGAGACACTAGTTTGCTTTCACGATTGGTTGAAGGCCCAACGAAGAACTCAAGAAATTACCATCACTCCCACCCGTCACTTTATAGAGGAAACAACCGAAGGCGGAGATTCCGATTGATTTTTTATTACAAAATGTATTACATTTTTTAAATTCATCCTAATTCTCAATTGTACTTCTTATTTGAAATAAATATACTTGAATTCGAATATAATATATTGTAATTGTAATAAGAATTATTCTAATAATATAATATATAATAAAAAAAATAAAAGGCCCGACCCGGCGGGCGGCCCAGCCCGTGAACCGGGCGGGTGACCCGAACCGAACCGGACCCGGGGTAATCCGGGCCGGTTCCGGGCCTACCTTCCGTGAACCGAGGCCCGGCCGGTTCTAGGCCCGAACCGGGCCCGGCCCGAACCGAGTCCACCACTAATTGTAAATAGAAGTTTTCTCCAAGGGCCAAAACCGCATCAGTCCACCCCTACTTCCAATATTCTTCGAAATAGGCAGCTTGACAGGCAATATTCGACCCTGGAATTTCTCCGTATCAACTGAGGTTTAATTGTGATCAATTACACTAGTTACATAAATAACCTTTTTAGACTCCTAACAACATTTACATTTCATACAAGTAATACTTCTTGTAACCCAAGACAAATTCCAAAGAGGGAAACCGAAAAAACATAGCAAGTATCTATAACTTCTGTCAATACAAGTACAAAAGGGCCTTAAAATTGCCAGAGTAAAGGCCTTATTCTTCACGGAAGCTAAACAGAAAATTCAAGTATATATATAAATAATAATAACAAAACAACACTTGCATTTTTGTGGAATAATAAGAAGGCAGGAACCAAAAAAACCATGCATTCAAAGGGAAACATTGGCTGCCGCTGGTTCAGGGTGTGAGAGCAAGGGTTCCTGTAAGGCTGGATTTATTGGGAATAACATGCATTGAGCGTATTGTGCCATCAATTGATCAACCAGCACCAGCGCTACCATGGCATCCACCATTGGAACAGCTGCAGTAGCATACATAATGAATATTGAATAATGTACTCTTCAATTCAACGAGTTACTTTGTAAACTTATTTTCAAATAGTACAGAGAGCTCATACTTTATAGTACCGCTAAATGTGAAATACTATGTAACAAACTAACATATACGTGTTATAACAACTATTGTAATAATAATATCAATAAAATGGTTTCATAATTTAGGAACAAAACAAACCTCGAGGAACAACACATGGATCGTGCCGACCCCGTGCAATGAGCTCAGTCTCATGCCCGTCCCTCGTCACTGTATTCTGCCTTCTCTGTGAATCATCATCAAAAGAGCATGTGAACCAACCATGTCGAGTTAGAAATACTAAACCAGCTATTGGAGGAAAGCCTGCTTACTGATTACATAACATAAAATATACTACCTCCGTCCAACTAAAGTTGGCCAACTCTTCTTATTTAGACATCCCAAAAGACATGGCCATTTCCTTTTAAAGTACAGAGTAACAAATTTGTCATTATTTTAATTTCTCTCCTCTCCACAAATTTCAATCACAATTTTTACTTTCTGATTCCACGTGGAAATTCACTTTGGCAACTATTGTGGGACGGAGGGAGTATTCAAGTCCATGTCAAAGAGTCATGTTCCAAAGATCTGTTGTCCAAAAACACGTCAAGATTGATCAATCAAAGATTTAGAGCTACTTCTTCATTTAATGAATGCCAACAGTAAAAAGAGTTACAAGATTTACAGACAAATCACATGTGATAAATATATTGAAACTAACAAATCATGTAGTTGTGCATAGTTCAAACATGAACCTTTGTGGACGGAAGTAGTAGTATAATCAACTCCACAAGAGGTAATGATATCATTTTGAAGAAAGATTATTTTATTCAACATTCAAGAACAAACAGAACTATTGGGTGTTAACCGTTAAGCAGCTACACTCTCCCACCATGTGGCAATGGGCCCAATGAACATCCAAAATAAAAGATGGAAACATACTGAAATTGTGGATGTAGGCTTGAAAGCTATTTTCATGCTAATAATTTCTCCATTAGATATTCCACCCTGAAAAATACAGAAAACACAAATTTTTTCGATTAAAAAGAAACCCATTTCAGTGTGTATGCCAATAGAACTAATATTTAACATAAGCAATACCTGTATTCCACCAGATCGGTTGGTTCTTGTTCTAATCCGGCCATTTTCATCCACATAGAATTCATCATTATGCTCACTACCAGTCATAAACGTGCCTGCATCAGGGACATAAAAACTAGCATACAAGAAGAGGACATACTGTACTTTGTTTCCATTAGAGGAGAGAGGTATAAGTGATAATGCCTAAAAAGCTTTGCATCCAAAGTCATACATTGTCTTCATTTTTTTTTTTGGGGGGGGGGGGGGGTGGTCCTTAGCATTAACAAGAAGAAGAAGACAGCAAGTGTGGACTGGAAAACCTGTATGTATGTACCTGCAAAACCACTGCCGAACTCAAAACCTTTTGTTGCAGGTAATGACATGCAAGCTTTAGCTAGCTCAGCTTCAAGTTTGTCAAAGACAGGATAACCAAGACCCTAGTAAAAGTAAACCAGCTGATTAAATAGCACAGATATTGTTACAATTTATCCTAAATGATAAATGCACCTAGGCATATGAAATGAAGGCATCTGTATACATTAAAATGACAAGGTTGAAGATGAGCTTACTCGAGGAGCATTCCTAACAATGCACGTGACAACCCCACCAACAGAATCCCCCTTTACTCGAACAGCATCAATGGCAGCTATCATCTTTTCTGCATATTCAGGATTTGGGCATCGGACTATATTGCTTTCAACCTGGCACCATCAAGTGAGAAAGGAATGAATCAGACAAAACAGATATTAAGCATAAACTACAAAACCAAAATGCAAATCTATCACCATTCACATTTTCAATCAAAAAGGAAAGAAAGAGGCACCGGCATCTCACCATATGGTAACATCACTAACATGCTAATAGAAAAACATAAATCAATAGATACCTGATCTAGAGTGACAGTCTGGTGATCGACTAAATCATCGGGAAGCACAACTTTATGCACTTGGGAAACATAGGCGATAATCTGGAACCAGAAACAACAATAAGTTACTATACCAACCATGTGCTATGGATTTCATAAGCAAAACAATTTTTTTTCCCACAAATATAGTTCCTAGTCTTAAAGACTTAAATTACAAATGCAATGACAAGAACTGTGTCATAGACCATAATATCACTTGACTAACAGATCCAAAGACTTGACGCCTTGAACTCTTAATGTAAGTTTATAGAGCATTAGATCCTCATAAATTTTAATGAATATATCTCCACAGCATCGTAAGGTTGATGCTCTGAAATCTCAAAGGTCGTTTTTCTATTTGAAAATAAAGGATATAATATGCTTGTGAGGTTCAAAAGATTATATGCTTATCAATAAAAGTTCATATTCCTGTAAGGTAAATAATACGGAGTATTAATAGTGATAATAATTGGAATATATGCTTATTCTAGAATGCCAAATTAATTCAAGAAAGGTAAAAGTAACATACCTCAGTACCAGAAAAATGTTTGAGAATTTTTTTTGCCACTGCTCCAGCAGCAACTCTCCCAATGGTTTCTCTAGCTGATGACCTGCCACCACCCTATAAAGTCATCAAGCATAAAAAGACCAAGAAATAATATCAGAGTATACACATTATATATATATAATTATATATAAAGACCTTGCTAAGCACCAAAGAATTAAATACTTGCTTGATTGTACATGAGTATTACCTGTACTGATCTCACTCCATATTTGAAATCATAAGTAGCATCTGCATGTGAAGGACGATATGCAAGTGACATTTCACTGTAGTCCTGAGAATACATTATAATAATATCAGAAAATCATTATTACCAGGTACTAGAAAAGTAGAAAGTTATGAAATTCATGTCACACTTCATGGGAAATGTTCAATACAAAGGCATTATTTATTTCAGATTCATATGTGACTATGTCTTCAAGGATTGGATGCACTATGGTTTTTCCTCCAAACCTATGACTAATATAAATGAGCGTCATAGTATATATACTCAAATGGCATGTCCTTTAATATACTTCAAATAGAACACTGCTGGATCATGAAAGTCAGCGGTAACAATCAATTTCTTTGAAATAATACGCATTGAGGAGTTTCAACCTCCAAATAAGCACATATATACAAATATTGTACTTCATCAAACAATTCAAAGTGCTGATACACACATTATCATTTCATCTACATTTCAAGGATCGCTAAATATAACATAGACAAGATGAACTCTGAATACATCATGCATGGCCCAATTTTACGTATAAACTCTGAAGTCTGAACTCATTAGAACTACCCCTCTGGCCCTCTCTAACATCATGACTGTTAAGGACATACCAGAATCAATCACTGAAAGTTTCTAACATCATCTACCCCTTTTGATTCTATATACAAAGCAGTAGTCTAGATTCTTACATGTCCTCTCTGGTCGGTGTTAGGAGCTTCCACTTTAATTGGAGATCCGGTTGTTAACCCTATAACCAAAACATCGGCAGTTAAATATGCACATGAAGAGCCAAAGTGGTAATATAATTTTCAATGGCGGTGGTCTAACGGTCTAAGTGTCTAACCATCAGCAATGCCCGATGATATTTTACAGGTGTCTGTCTCTTTTCTAGGGGTTGTGATTCGGCTTTGACCAGGTCTCCTACACATACATTTCACAAGAGAAATCAGATGAGAGAATGTGTTACAACTCATAAATCTTACAAGGCATGTCCACTATTAAAGTACATATCTTAACTCTTCAGAGAGGATAAGTATGTATTGAGTACCTTCTATCAAGCTCCACCTGCATATCCGATTCAGAAAGGGGGAGCCGAGGAGGGCATCCATCAATAATGCAACCAACACCACCGCCGTGTGATTCTCCAAATGTTGTCACGCGGAAAAAATTACCAAATGTATTACCTGTCGCCTTTATCTCTGTAAATTTCACAAGAAGATACATATAAGCTTACACAAGGATGTCGCTAAGTAGTGATACAAGTTTAAGTTGATACCACTGGTAAATATTGCTAGTTATGTACATTATAGATATCTTTTCGCAAATTTCAAAACTGGCTCCACTGAGTTAACAAAAGTGTCAATATATATTACAAAAACTTAGATTTCTAAATAAAAAAAAGAAATGATGTACGTGACTTGGATGATTTTTATTCATCCCAGTGATTACTTTGATGTGGATATGTTTGCACTTGACAACCTACTACTGTTGAGGAAATAAAAGAAGACTGCCCTCCTGTTGAGGAAATGGTGGCGACGGAAAAAACACTCCAAATTGTTTACTAATCAGTTCCACTTGTAAACTTTGCCTTGATAATACAAGTACCAATAGCAACTACAGGGAGAGGCTTTTGAATCCTTATATGCAATAGAAACAAAAATAGCTCCATTATTTTCTTAATGGATTTCAAAATGGAAGGGAAAATAAATAACTCTATGAATGATTATACTGCTTGATTACATTTCTTGAAAAATGTTTACTATGATCTATGAAGTGTTGATTGATAAAGATTAAAGAAAGCTAGTACAAATTCGTCCATAAAATGAACAAATGTTGAAGGCAGTGGTAAAACATAAGCTTTTATCATTGAAATTATTAAACTAACTATATTGACATTTGACACCACTAGCATAAAATCTGCCTTTGCCCCTAGCCTGCATAAAAGTGAATTGCCAGGTTCACATCTCCATCTGTAGCAATGCAATCAATCACATATACTCTTCCCTCAGTGGAAACCCAAATCTACCACGAAAGTACGCAAATGAGATGGATAATAAATATCTTGTCTAAAAAAATATCATCTGTGTTTGTGAGCTTAATAAATACGAGTTTATTCATGTTTATTCAACTATAGCCACAATGTTTAAAGAACATAATTCACTTTTCAGAGTATAAGCGGAATTGGAAAATAGAAGAAAAAGGGGGAGAGAAACGAGTTATAAATGCTCAGGGAGCTAACCAAGTCGTTTGAGGCGCGACGGTCGAGCGGGAATTTGGAGGCAGGAAGATGAGAGATTGGACGGCGAGTGGAGCGACCCGAGACGTGAGTACCCGTCTGAAGATGGAGCTCCGAGGAATTGCTTGGTGGTTGAGATAGACGAAGCCATTTCTGAGCGGTCGCTTCTGCCTTCTTCCTCCTTGCTTCTTCACCAATCCAAAGGCGACATAAGCAGGAAAGCTACCGCCGGAAGGAATGGACCTGGGAGAAGAAGGGGATCACGAATTACTTTCAGACTGCAACTGCGATAGTGACTGCTCTGGCTTTACAAGTCAGACTTGATCGAGAGGTGGAACCTGTTCTACACGGACGGCCCGTCGGCTTGGCTCGGCAACGGTTGACTGGAGTCTGGAGACGGACTTTCTGCGGTGGCACAGTTGCTCCGCTTTATATGTAAGCGGCGATGGGTTGGTTGGGTGAGCTTCTCATGGTAGGTAAAGCGGGTCGCTTCGGATGACTGCCACCTACCCACTTATGACCACTTGCAACCGTGAAGATTGAAAAGAGAAATCAGCCACTTGAACCGACGACTTTTGTATGCAAGACAAGAACACCCACTTTGAGTGGCGACTTTCCTGTGGTTAATTCCAGCATTATTTTGAGAAATATTCTTAATCTGACAGTATTTTGGGAATAATTTATTTACTCCCTCCGTCCCTTAAAGGTTTGCTAAGTTTGACTAGCACGTAGAATAATAAAGTAAAAACTGTGTGGTATATATTTGTTCAGAGGAGAGAAAAATAACATGAGCAACAAATTGATTCATTAAAATGGAAAGTGACAAAGTTTTTGGGACAACCAAAAAAGGAAAGTTTGCAAAGTTAGAAGGAACGGAAGGAGTAATTAACATTATTCCGGGAAAAAACTCCAAAAAAAATTACTTTTTTAGTTCTCAAATTAAATTTGGCAAAGTCCACCAAAGGACGTAGGTGGCCTTCAATCTTCACGGTTGCAAGTGGTCATACGTGGGTAGGTGGAAGTCATCCGAGACCCGCTTTACCTCCCATGAGAAGCTCACCCAACCAACCCATCACCGCTTACATATAAAGCGGAGCAACTATGCCACCGCAGAAAGTCCGTCTCCAGACTCCAGTCAACGGTTGCCGAGCCAAGCCGAACTCTTCCTTCGTGCTACTCTGCCACCGAGGATGCCCAATCTCCAAAACTCAGAGCTGCGGCATACTAGAATTTCCGGCCCCTGTTGCGCCACACAGCCCTCGCTAATGTGCAATCTCGAAAGATGTGCAGCGAGCTCTCCTCCTCATGCCCGCAAATCAGGCACTTCGGCCACAACAGGACTCGCCGTTGAATTAATCTTTGTTTGGTAGGTAAACAATCCACACAAGCTTACCAAAAAAATAGTTTTACGTTCGGTGGTATCTCAAGTTTCCAAATTTTCGCCCAGCCACCTCCGATTGTACACTTCTATTGAGTCTTTTATAGCAACTCCGAACTGAATAAACTCCCTTAGTATCATCCGCCCAAATCAGTTCATCCTCCATCTGTCTCGGTCGCAAAGGAATACTAGCAATAAGAATTTTATCTTCCTCTAAAAAAGATCCTCCGATAAGTCGAAATCCCAACTCGTTCCATCATTGAGCATAAGAGAATGAACATAAATATTTTCTAAACTGGCTATTTCATTCTCGCCCGCCCTGCACCCTCCAGTGTCATATAGCCAATTATCTTTCCATGCTCTTGCTGAAATCCCATTGCCAAATCGGAAACAAACCCCTTCTCTACCGTCGGGATAGCTGCCATGATGCTTCGCCAAATAAGGGATGGATTATGTCCACAATTTGCTTCCAAGATATTACCGTGGGTAAAGTATTTTGCTTTTAAAAGCTTAGCCACCAACGAATTTGGATATTTTAGGATACGCCATACCTGCTTACCCAACATGGCGATATTAAACTCGCGGAGTTTTCTATATCCCAGCCCTCCTTGTGATTTCGGGATACACGGGTCACCCCACGTTTTCCACCTAATTCCTTTTCCTTTGAAAGCATGCCCTCTCCACCAAAAAGCATTCATAGTTTTTTCAATGTCACTACATAATTCAGCTGGCAATAAGAACACATTCATGGCATATTGGGGCATAGCTTGAACAACCGTTCTAATTAATACTTCTCTCCCAGCTTTAGATAAGAACCTACTATTCCAGCTCTGAATTCTTTGAATAACTTTTTCTTTGATTTAGCCAAAAATTTCTTTTTTATTTCTCCCAACCATCGAAGGTAGCCCCAAATACTTGCCCCCACCCATGTATTCCCCAACTACAAAAATATTACATAAATAATCTCTATCATCCCAAGCCACATTTACACTAAAATGCACACTAGATTTATCAAAGTTTATCACCTGACCCGAGACTGATGCATACTGGGCAAGTAACTCTTTGATAATAAAACAGTCCCACTCATTTGCCCTGCAGAAAAAGAAACTATCATCAGCAAATAATAAATGGGAAATTGTCGGGGCCCCACAGGCCACTCGAATTCCTTGAAGAACTCCCTCTTCTTCTTTCGTCCGTAGCATGGTGCTTATTCCTTCTAACACCATAATAAGCAGATACGGTGATAGTGGATCCCCTTGCCTTAATCCCCGAGAAGGAATAATTGGTCCATAAAGCTCCCCATTAATCTGAATATGATACCGGACCATCTCCGCACACTGCATGATTAAATTGGTCCATCATGGAAAAAATCCGAAGTACTCCATAACATGCTTTAAAAAACCCCACTCAACTTTGTCGTATGTCTTGCTCATGCCGAGTTTTAGGGCCACATAGGCTTCCTTTCCCTGTGTTTTGTGCTTTAGAAAGTGTTGTCTTTCAAAAGCAACTATAATGTTATCAATTATAGATCTAACGGGTATGAAAGCGCTTTGATTTTTAGAAATAATTCCGTGTAATAAGCCTTTGAGCTGATTCGCTAAGATCTTTGCAAATATTTTATAAGCAACATTGCATAACACGATCGGCCTCCAATCACCCATAGCCACAGGAATATCTTTCTTTGGTATCAGCACGATAGTAGTCTCATTATAATCCTCCAATACCCTCCCTGTGTTAAACAATCTAACACAAAAATCCACCACAGCTGGTCCCACAACATCCCAAAAGGCCTGAAAAAAATCGGGTTCAAACCATCTAGTATTGGAGCCTTATCCGGGTGCATACTGAACATCGCGGCCCTCACCTCAGTCTCCGTTATGTCACGTAAAAGGATAGTATTCTGGTTGTCCCTAATCACTTTTCAGGCATTGTCAAAACCTGAGAGATCCCAACTCCTTCCTGCGGTAAAGAGCTCCTCAAAATAATTAATAACTATATTACTCAACTCCCCTTGACTTGTCATCCATCTACCCGAATCACAGTACAAACCCTTCATTAAATTTTTCCGCCTCCTTTGCTTGACCGAGTTATGAAAATATTTAGTATTAATATCTCCCTGTTGTAACCAAAATTCTTTCGCCCTCTGTTTCCAGAAAGAATTCTGCTTTTCCAAAAGTTCTATATAACATACCTTTGCTCTAGCAAATTCGGCTAACCCTGCTTCATCCGTTCGACCCTCTGCTACGCTCCATCTGCCTTTTGCAACCTTCAATACGTCGCTGAAAACCCCGACGAAGATGTTTACCCCATTTGCATAACTCGACTCCACAAAATTGTAGCCTTTCAAGAAGAATTTGATCCTCACATGAGCTCCATGCACATTCTACCACACTGCGGCATTCTTTCTACTTTAGCCAATGATTTTCAAACTTGAATCTGGATCTTCTGTGTTTCCCTTCTTTTTGGCTAAACTTCACAAATAGAGCGAGATGATCACTATTACTTCTCGAAATAGAGGTAGCCCAAGCCTCACCGAAAATATCCAGCCATCCGTCATTCACAAGAATACGGTCAAGCTTCTCTTCGACCCAATTGTTCGTGCCTCGCCCTCTCTCCCAAGTGAACTGATATCCGTCAAAAAGGAAATTCACTAAACTGCTCCTCCATATGGCATTTCGAAATCCCGTAAGCATCCAAGCAGGTTGGGGACATCGTCCTTGATAAACCCAAAATACTAAACAATCAAACAACCATAGCAGTTATGAAGAAGCAGATAGAAGATTATGAGATGAAAAACCAAATCTGGTATACCGTATGAAACCCCGCTGCTCTCCCTGGAGAAGGAGAGCAGCGGAAACCCTACTCTCTCTATCACGCCTCTGCTTCTCTAAAGCCTCTCATAATTTTGGTTCCCGTAAGTTAGCCTCCTTTTATATGAGAAGTTGGCTAACTTAAGGGTTACAAGGAAGCCCCCCCGGGCTGATACACATTTGTGGCCCGTATTACACGTTTAATTAATAACTACACAAATACAAAGATATTTAATTAGATTGGACACCATAAAATATTCCTAACAATCTCCCCCTTGGTGTTCAATCATGTTGAATCATCATTGCAGCGCAGATATCTTTGTCTTTGTTGTTATTGAGCTTCCTTTGTCTTTAAACTTGACTTCTGAGGAAGGCTGTCTGAAGAAATCCTTGCAATCTCCCCTTTGATGTCTTCTTGGCAATTTGTTCCTTGATGTCGGGGGTTGAGGGATCTTCAGTATCTTGCATGTAGTCCTTGCCTTCCAGAAGTTGCTCTTGATCAGCTTGGATGAAGTCCGATGACGCCTCTAGAATGAATGTTCTTTGAAGAATAGGGAACGTCCATGGAATTCATCTTCAACAGTTTGAGTATTTGACCTCTGTCTCCTCCACCATGTAGTCTTTTTGACTATTTGGAATGAATGTTTTTGAGGAGAACTTGTCAGTGGCGCAGCGGAACATAATGATGGTTGACTTGTAAGTGTAGCTGACCATTTGAGTTGTGGAGATAGTAGAGAGAGTGTTGGAGGAGAGAAGTATCCCAGAATGATTTTTTTAGCGTTAAATAGCATGTAGAATACTCTTCCCCTCATGACGGTCCGATGAATCGGGGCGTCATGCCTTTATTCTTTTATTCTGCGGAAATAAAACAGGAAAAACAAGCAGAATGGTAAAATGATAACGTAGCCCCCCGGGGTTGTGAAAACACCCGTTTTCATCACTATAGAGATAAACTCTAAAGCAATGGCCTGAAAATGTTGGTGATTCTTATCTTGCAACAACAGGACTTCCTTCCAATTATTGGTCTAAATCTGTAAAAGATGAGCCCTATGGAAGTTCTCGCAGGTCATGAAGACCTGCAACTGACTCAAAAAGTGCGTCTGTGTCCTAGAAAATTTCAAAACATTTGGGAGTGAGTAACTAGACACAAAGTGATCAATGAAAGTTCAGTGGCATGGGGCTGGGGCCACTGTAGTCAGTATTACTTGCCTCGGAAGGAGACAGTAATGAGAGATGCGGTTCCCCGTGAAGTATGATTAAACACCTGTCTGTTGGGAGACAAGTGAGTGGTCTTGGGTAGGGTTCAACATGCACTGTTGGACAAGATGCAGTGACTTCCACCCGGGATCTCATCAAATCAGTCCTGAACCTATTTGGGAATTGTCCAGAGTATTTGAGTGGCTAGGAGTAAATGTTCAAATCACAGCAGACAGTTGAGGTAGCAGATTTATCATTGATTATTGTTTTCTTGCTCACTTGAGCCTTCTGCTTCCTAACGCTCATAATAATCACTCACTCACTTACTCTCGACTTTGTCCCTTGGGTAGGCTTAGTTGGGTTTACTAAGCCATAGGAACATGTTCTCTCATTGATTTTCTCTCTGTACTCCCCCTCAACTAGAGCACTCGGTATGCTTTGTTATTGTTAGGCACCGGGGAGGACAACTTTGAACACTCCCCTAGAATGTTGCATCCGTTGAGAGATTCCTTGCTTTGTCAGTGTAAGGCGCCGGAGGAGAAAACTGAAACTCCCCCTCAGAATGTGCAAGGCTTGATTGCTCACAGCTCGACATACCCGCCATGTGTGTGGAGCAATATGAACAGGTACCACACATGACGGTTTCCCTAAGCTCATCATTTGGAATTTCAGCATGTTTGAGGATCACACTATGTTGATGAGTTAGGGGAGGCTTCAGCAGTTGAATGTTGATTGTTGTAAGATGACCATTGACGCGAGGTTGATTGAATTATC